CTCCATTCCCAATCTCAAAAAACTAATCATACAAAAGTAGATCCTCAAACTATCAACGATCAGATAATCTACAATTCAATTACATTTCCTTCCCCCGGCATCCATCCCATTCACACCTACAAATCAATTACTTCTCACATCCACGCGTCCCCAAAAACACCCCCTGTTGCTCCCTTTTCCTCCGGAACTTCTCTCCTTCACCCACTGTCCCTCGTCTTATCGGCCAGCCGGAGTGTTCGCATACTCTTACTCCGTTCTCCTCTCGCGATCATCCGCCTGTCTCTATCCCCCTTTCTCGAGGATGAATGGCAAAACGCAAAGGTTCGAGGCCTAACCTGACCACGTTGCGCGTACATAGGCAGACGCCACTCAACTGTGGGAACTGGCATTGTGGACCACACGTGGCACGCGAGTATTACGCTGGCTCGTGGCTTCTGTGTGCACTGGATGTAGCGTTGCGTACGCCCGACCGAGACAGATACCGGGCGAAAGAGAAAGGGAGAGAGCGGGTGGGTGGTGAAAAGGGAACAGGGCGCGGTCCATTCCAGCGCATGCGATCCTAATCCCCGCGTCCATTCGACGTCCGGATCGCGAACACGCACGTACTCGAAAATCGTCCCCTTAAGCCACCCCCCAGGTCGGACGAAAAATTGTCCCGGCGAATTAAGAGGAACGTGAGCTCGTCACACCACGGAGACGTGTTTCATCGAGGGTGAAATTGAGAGTTTCGCTCCTCGACGACGATCAAAGGTGTTTTGCCACTTTCCGCTGTTTTGTAAGGATGATTAGGGTAATGAGAATTTGCGCGGTTTCTTGTGAATCGGAAAGTAGAAAAATTGGCCTGAGAATTTGTTTAATACTAGAAGAACTGGCTGGGTCAGAAATGACCCACAAGCGACATTTCAAAAGTGAATTTTCATGTAATTTAAAACGTGATTAAGGAATTTGTTTTATGTCGATGCAAATAGAAGTAGACATGCAGAAAACAAAGTGCAAACGATGATACTTATGAGCATTGAAAATTCACCCTTTTTTTGGAAAGTTGTTATTGGGTCATTTTTGACCCGACCTGTCCTTCTGGTGTTAAATGTTGATTTAGATTATCTATTTATTATCTATTTATCAAATTCGTAAAAGCTAGTACGAAGTTTTGAGACTTGTAGGGAGATTAAATGTTAAATTGTAATGCACTGTGATTTGAATAACGTTGAGGTTTAAATTTGATTAACAAATTTGATAAATTTGATAAGAAATTATTCGACTGACTATTTAGTACATGATTCTTCTGGTGGAATTTCTAGGAAAATGAGAAGATCAATTTTAATACAATGGCTTTAATATTAAAATTCAGAATTAATTTGTAATTCCTATTGACGATTATGTATAAAAGTCAAGAAAAGGATCATCCTTGTAAAATGGAGAAAAATATACTCGGTCTATAATTTTGCGCACGCGACTTAAACGTCCGCTAATGATAAGAAAAATATGCAATTCTTTATCGATACTACTATAATAAATAAAAAGTATTAATTTTTTAAATTTCCATTTTATGCAATAAATGCGATATTGTGTTTTTCATCAATTTTACCGGAACCAAATGGAATGCATTAAAATGAAAAGTAAAACTGAAATTCGATAAAAAGTAATAACAATAAAGTATATTGTCATACGTTGTTATTCTACAAACATTTATTTGTTCATTGATATGCAACAATCGTTTATTTGTCTTTGGATAAATGATAATAATATTTCTACCTTTATTAATATGGAAATTCACCGTGATTGTTAAACATTCTTAAATTTTACGCGATATGAGAAATTGATAAACTTATTTCTTCCAGTAATACTTCTATGATAAAGATTTCTTTAAGGTACATCCAACTCTGCTTCTCTGTTTCATACGCTACCAACTAAATAAAAAATTTGGTAAAAAATAATTGAAAGGATAATCGAAATTAACCTCGACACAGAAATTCGAAATTAAGGAACGAAATACGATAATTTCTCGCGCACTGACGATAAAATTTCAAAACTTTTTATTGTCATTATTAATTCAAAAGTCTCGGAGTAATTTAAAAGCGTCGTTCGGCGAAAAAGAAGGGGAATACCAGGATAAAAATGAATTTTATATTCTAATATCTCGACTGCGTGTAGCATGCGAGGAACTTTGCTTACAAAGCAAACAAGCACGCGGCTCTCGTTGGTTTTTTCCCCCCAGCTGAAAATTCTCCGATGAAAAAACAATTATTACTCTCGGAAAATAATAATATTTGTACCTGTTCCGATGCACGGCCAATTTAGTCGATAAAGCAAACAGACCCGAAGCGGATTTCACTTCACCTTACTTTCCAACTGATTGCATACACGCCGCCGTATTTGTGCTTACAAAGCATTCTATTTCTCGTTAATGAATATTCCGTGATTCTTCTTCTTTTGGAAATTAAGTGAAAATATTGACTATTCGATGAGAAAAGTATCATTAACGAAGTATTCAATCGTTTGAAATTCATTAACAATGTATGATGTATCTTATAACTCTGAACTAGTTTGATAGCGTTTGACAAACTAAACGCCATAATTTTACAATTGCAGAAATAACGCGTCAAATTAAATTAGTTATCAAATTTAAATTCCCCTTGCTCTCAGATCCATTAATGAGGTTTCACTGGTTTGAGACTTAAAATAAAAATTCTAAATTCTCAAAATCTAATAAAAATTCATCAGACTAATGTGCAGTCTATTTGCAAAGTAATAATCTTTCAGACTGACAATTTTATTGGTAAAATATTCACGTGCTTTATCAAACGAAATCTTTTCACAGAAAATTATAGACATCTGCAGGAAAATTTTTTTAAATTTCTCAATCAAGTGCATACGATAAAAATGCATAAACGAAGGTGCAAAAAAAAATACATGAAACTCAATATGACGATATTCTAACATTCCAAATGAGTATAAAAACACCATCTCCAAGATAATTTCCCTTGCACCAAAACACAATGCGTATATCCAAAAAAATCAACCCTCGATTTCTTCATAAACCACCCTTCCACCTAAAAATCTGAATGTCCTCCACTCTCAGACCGATTAATTCAGCATCGTTCCCGAAATCGTCTTAACGTTACAAAGTGATTTCGGGAAAGGAAACCGTTTCACGTACCGCTAATTGCTCGAAAAACAAAAAGGACCTCTCTCCCTCGGGAACTCTGACCTCCTTTTCGAACGCTCATTCCTCTCGGGGGTTGCACACACGCGATTTCCTCGTCAGATGGATCATGGAAAGAGATACTTACGCCGCCAATGGTACAGAGAGAGGTCGGATAAAGCGCAGATATTGCGACGCCAGTGCGAACGTGGGAATCCACGGCTGCTATCCGCTCAGCCTCATTAATGATGATGTGCTTGCCACCCAGTTGCAGTTCCATTCTCTCTCTCCCTCTCTCTCTCGTTCGCATACATCTCTACTACATATTTCAACGTGTGTATGCCTGTGTCTACTCTCCATGATCCTCTCTGTCTCTTTCTTCGTCACCGCGACGTCTCTCTTTTGCTCTTTGCTCTCTCGCCTGCTGATGCCTTGGCAAGAAGACCCCTGGAAGCTGACGCCCGGCCAGGCCACCGCATTTCACCCTCCCATTTCTCTCTTTCGGTGGATTCAACCCTCCTACAGGCTGCTCGACCTACCTACCGCCATTTCTCCCCACCCAGCCTGGCCACGGTAATACAGCTCGTACATCTCCAACAGGCCACTCCGCTAGTATACTCTTTCTCTCTCTCTCTCTCTCCACCCCTCTGGACTCAATTCTGCGCAACCTGCGCGGACTTTTTCGCTCCCACCGTTAAGTTCTTAGGCGATATTAATAGGGAACCGCCGGGAGGTCGAGCGGGGGACCGGTTCTATCGCCCCCATGATTTGTCATTACTGATCGTATACCTGCCTGAATACGCTTCTTTTCTCGTTTGCCGCCTGTAACGAGAACGAAGGGAAACTTGAGCTCGATCGCGGGGCTAAGACGCCCCCCTCGATCGTTCCACAAATGGGGCGAAAGATCGCGACGGGATTGATCGGAGCGTGTAAGAAAGTTTGATTTTAAACACTTTCTTCTAGAGATGGAGGGATATTGATGTATGACGTTTGGTAGGGGTGTAATTACACTTCCCTTAGGGGGTGAATTTTTCTTCTTCGTTGTTGCTTTTAGGAGATTGTACTTTTGATTGTTAGATGATGAGGTAGGTTGATACCTTGCATATTAGGTTTTTAATATTATTCTTTGGTAATAAGGTGTGTTTATGACTTGAGGTGGTGTAATATTTGAGGTATGAATCTTTTCGTACTTCTTAGGAAATGTTAAAAGTTGAACATTATTCGATACTGAAAAATATCGTGACGAGAGAAAATATGTTTGCATTAAACGATAAGAATATTTGAACCGTGACTGGTATTTAAAATTTGGTCTTATTTTTATAAAATATTGAAATTCACGAAGTATTATATTTACGGTAGCACTTTAAACGATAGAAATATTTGTATAAACTCGTAAATCATGCTAAATGATTGATTCTTTTAAAGGGCTATTTATCGTATTTGAAGGAATCAACAACCCTGAATTCAATCCTTCGAAAGCCCTTTCAGGTTCCCCTATTAAATACTTGAATGGCGTCAATAAAGCCATTCAAGATGGTACTCTGGCATTAAGAGACCACTCGTGATTACATCGAAGATGTATTTCGTTGCTTCGTGTATTTAATAAAAAAGGGAGAAATAATTTCAAGTATATTTTTCTATACACCAACAGACTTCCAATAAATATACGTTGAATATTTTCTTGGAACACGTATACCAATCATTTTTGCAATATCGTGAAGTAATTGTGAAATTTAATTAAGTTTCATATTAAGAAATATCGAATGCAAGGAGATCTAAAATTTGTAGAAAATTGTAGAAAAATTTGTAATCGAACATGGAAGATAATAAAAACTCGTTGTAAATTGATGTTTAGCGGTACAACACGAACGTGGTCCAAGGAAGCCAAAGCAACAACAGTCACCGATCGCACCACCTTTACACAACGATCCATTAAGGACTGGCATTGGTTCCCCGTATGTCCTGTTGCACCAAAGGTACGTATAGCATTCTTATTAAAAAATAGATCACTAAAATTGATCAATTTACCACTGTATATTGTTCCTTCAGATTTAATTTTATGTAATTAAAGAAAAAAAATACTTTTTCGTAACTTTGAACTATCTTACTTAAGCACACTTTATAACTAAGCTATCAAGAGACCCATTTTTAAAAGATTTTACTTAGACTTTTACATTATTATGAATATTAATTTTCTGCTTGTGCACACCTGCCG